GTCTTCCTTAGCCACAGCCTTTTCTGAAACTGCAGGGTATTTGGAACCTTTAAGTACCAGGTTAATTGAATGTTCCAGTTACCTTTTCTTGCAGGGGTGCATTATAGATGTATTTGCATGGGGTTTTTTGGGTGCTGAATATAAAGGAGACAGCCTGTCCTGGAGGGGTTTGCACTCCCCTGAAGGAACACAGGTGCTGCTGGATCCTGGCCTACAGTTGGAGGCTGTGTGGCACATAGTGCCTTTATCAGCTTTGGCTGACATGCCAGCTACGGCCATTACAAGGAAAACATGATCTGGTTGCCGTGATCTGTGCTCTGATTACATTCAGGTTAGACTGCTGTAATGTGCTTTACATGGAGCTGCCTTTGAAAACATTCTGGAAACTTCAGTTCATCCAAAATGCAGCAGCCCCAGGCTATTGTCATAAGAGATCATACATGGATCATATCACTCCAGTGCTTGAAATATCTGCATTGGCGGCTGATTCATTTTTGGGCAAAACTCAAAGTGCTGGTTTTTACCTTTAAAGCCCTAAATGGCTTGGGGCCAGGGTACCTGAAGGGCCACTGCCTCCATTATTGTCCAGTTTGTCAGTTAAGATGTCCTGCTCTCTGTGCGCCCACCTTCAGAGTCGAGGTGTGTTTGTGTGGTCTCTTCTGACTTACGTAGGCCCTGTGAATTATTGACCTCCAAAACACCCTGTCTTGCTCATGTCTTGCAAACTAAGGACCATGGCTTCTTTTATTGAGTCAATCCGTTTGTTTGTTTGTTTATTGGGATTTTTCCCCCGCCCTCCCCGCAAAGCGAGCTCAGGGGCCGTTTCATGTTGGTCTTCCTCTTTCCTTGCTGCCTTCCACTTTTCCTAGCGTTATTGTCTTTCTCAGGGACTCTGGTCTTCTCATGATGTGACCAAAGTATGACAGCCTCAGTTGAGTCATTCTAGCTTCTAGGGAGAGTTCAGGCTTGATTTGATCTAGAACCCACTTGTCTGTCTTTCTTTGGTGGTCCACAGTATCAGTAAAACTCCCCTCCAGCACCCCATTTCAAATGAATCCGCTTTCTTCCTGCCTTCTACACAGTCCAACCAATCCAATCAGATTACCTTTATTAGCATGTAACACTCGCAAACTCATATACAACAATAACAACAACGACCTAAAATAATACTACAAAAAACAGATATAAAAGGAATTGCCATATAAATATGCCAGCGATAGAAAACAGATCAATTAAATAAAGGGCGAATAGAAGTAGCACCAGAAAGAAATTTTGCAGCAGTTTCTGTTATCTCACAATTTGAATTATCAAGAAGAGTAAGGATCTTTAAACCATCAGAATACTCTTCTAATTGAGTCAAAATAGGGTTTAAGGATTCCAGACGTAGCGCATAATCGGAGGGGCACTGCAACAGTACATGGGAGGTCGTTTCGATATGGTCGTTTGTGCGTGGGCAACATCTATCACAGAAGGGCACACCCTGAAAGCGGCCAGATAATAAGGCCGAAGGAGGTACATTGAATCTGGTTCTTATCTCATTTAAGACAGCAGAAAGGAGCCATCTAAATAAGTAGTTAGTATAAGGAATAAAAGTTGGCACAAAAAGTAGAAAAGTTAAAGGAGTTGATAAAAGCAATATTAAAAAAAAAACCCTTGAGTAAAAGCTACGCAGTCCAACTTTCACACCCATACATAGTAATAGGGAAACCATTACTGGTGACTAATAACACATCCTTTACACTTAAGAATCTGCCCTTCCCAGTCTTAACGTCCTTCTGACTTCTTGGTTGCAGTCTCCCTTTTGGTTGATGATAGAGCCAAGGAATAGAAAATCTTTAACAATTTCGATTTCCTCATCTTCAACCTTAAACTTGTGTAATTCCCCTGTAGTCATTATTTTTGTCTTCCTGGTGTTCCACTGTAATCTTGCCTTAGCACTTTCTGCTTTAACCTTGCATCAGTAGTAATTTCAATTCTTCCTTATTTTCCGCAATTAATGTGGTGTCATCTGCATATCTCAAATTGTTAATCTTCCTTCCACCTATTTTCATTCCACCTTCATCTAAATCTAATCTATTTTTCTTTATGATACGTTCTGCATAAAGGTTGATACATCCTTGTGGGACACCTTTTGCAATTGAAAACCATTCTGTTTCTTCACCTTCTGTCCTAACAGTAGCCTCTTGTCCAGAGTGCAAGCTGCACATCAAAATAGATGTTGTGGCACACCCATTTCTTTTAAAACCAACCATAATTTTTCATTATTCATACAGTCAAAAGCTTTGTTGTAATCCATGAATCACAGGAAAACATGAAATTCTTATTTTTAGTGCCGCTCCCTTTTTCTGAATCCAATTTGAACATCTGGCATTCCTCATTCCATCTATGGTAGCGTTTGTACAATTTTGTCACTTTAGTCATGTGAGAAATTAATGCGATGGTCTGATAGTTGTTGCAGTCTTAGAGGTCTCCTTTTTTTTGCAGTTGGAATATAAATTGGCCATTTCCAGTCTGTGGACATTTATTTTGCTTTCCATATTTGTTGGCATATTCTTAGTAAGATTTTGATGGACTCCATTTCTGTGGCTTGGAATAGCTCAATATCCTGTCTACTGCTAGTGATTTCTTTCTCCCAGTTGCTCTGAATGCAGCTTTCACTTCGCTTTCTAAAACTGGATTCTACTTCAAAGGATTATTTGTGAAGGGTCCTTTAATCTCTTCTGTATAGTTCTTCAACAGGAGGAGGAGGAGGAGAAGGAGGAGATTGGATTTATACCCCGCCCTTCACTTGGAGTCTCAGAGCGGCTTACAAACTCCTTTCCCTTCCCCTCCCCACAACAGACACCCTGGGAGGTGGGTGGGGCTGAGAGAGCTCTGACGGAAACTGCTCTTTTTCAAGGACAGCTGTGCCAGAGCTTGTGACTGACCCAAGGTCACATCAGCAGGTGCAAGTGGAGGAGTGGGGAATCAAACCCGGTTCTCCCAGTTTAGAGTCCACGCACTTAACCACTACACCATACTGGCATGGGCTTTTTCAGCAGTGGCACCTTGCTTGTGAAATGTCCTTCTCCTTGAGACTTGTCTGGCTGCCTGCGTTGCTTTCTTTTAGGTGCCAGGCCAAAATGCTTCTGTTCACCCAGGCTTTTACTTAAGGGGTTGATTTTTAAAAAACACTATTTTAGACTAGACATTGCTACTATAAGAGTTCTGTGACCTGTTTTTTTATTTTGTTTTTTATGCTGGGCTGTCTCCCCCCCCCCCCCAATGCTGGATGTTAATATATTGTAAATGTATGTTTTGTTTTGTTAAGGCACCTTGGGCAGGTTCGTGGAGAGACAGTGTAAACATTTTCTAAATATTAGTGCTAAAAATGCATTAGATAATTTAAAATCCATTAAGTAGCACACAAAACATTTAGTTAAACAGCATAGAGAACTGATATATATGGCTTCCTCCTTACCCTAGAAGGAGATTGCCGAGCTCTAGGGCCACCTCCAGTGAATGCCTTGCTTCTTGTGTTAGCTATTGTAGCCTTCCTGTAGGATGGAAGTTGAATCCTCATTAATGACAGTAGGGTGGGGGAATGTTTATATGAGAAGAGGTATTGCTATTGCCTGAGACAATCAGGCCCAGGCCATGTAGCTTTTTAACGGTTGAAACCAAAAACTTGAATTGGGCCCAGAAGCAAACTAGTACCCAGTGTAGAGTCCTCAGAACAGGCTTAATGTGAGTATGCTCGTCTCAGTAAATCAGACTGGCTCTTTCTCCCCTTTTGCTCAAGCTTTTGCCCTCCATTATTTGGATTTTGAATTAATTATAGTAAATACAGATCTTCCACCTGCTTCCAATTTTAATAGTATCAGCAGGATGGCTCGACCCCTCCAAATTCTTAACCTCTCTTCAAAAAATATCCAGCCTCTCACTTTATTTTACTGGGACATCTGAATGCTCGAATTGAGAACTTAACTCAGTCCACGATCAGGCAATTGGGCTTCGCTGATACGGAAGAATCATTTCCCCCAGTTTTACTTCATCTGTGAAGTTTGAAAGACCCTTTGACTAATAAAGCAAGGATCTGCATTGCTCGAATTTTTCATTTTTCATTGCATGACTATTTTTAACTGGTATCTCCTCATTTCCTGCTTCAAATGAATTTACATATATCTCCTCAAGTGGTTGTGGTGTCATAGATTATTGCCTTTGTTCTTCTTTAATTTTCCCATCAATCCAAAATTTTTATATTGGTGTCAGAACTGAAAGTGACCACCTTCCTCTTACAATCTCTTTAGAATGCAAAAATAACTTTAATTTCAATGACATCACCATCCCACAAGACGACTTAGTGTATATTTGGAAGAGAATAAAATGGTCCCCTCCATTGAGAATTTAACCTCCTTATTAGAGCTTGAAACTACTGTCAGCATAAAGCGTACCTTATCGATGACAAACTCTTTGGCAGATGCTCTGGATACCTGTGGTCAATTAATTGACCTGATAGGTTCTTCAGCCAAACCACCTCTTCTAACAGCACCCAAGCCCCTATCTTGGTTCAATGCAGAATGCTATGTAGTTAAAAGGCAGGTTCGATCCGCACATAAAGAATTTCACATTTCGAACAACTATGATAAATTAAAGAACTACCATGATCAAAATAACTTCTATCATGATCTCATTCTTAATAAACAGAAGCTGTCCTATGATAGGAAATGGTTTGAACTACTCCAGGCATTTAAATCCAACAACCATATATCCTTTTGGCAAGTTGTATCTTCCTATGTGAACAATAGCGTAGCTCCCTCCTATCCTAATATCCCCCCTCAAACTTGGATTGATTTTTACAGCACAGTTTTTGATGCTCCTGATAAGATCTTATTTGATACTGATAATACTGTTCCAGAAGACACCCCCAACTGGCCTCCGGTAACGGTGGATGAAGTGATTGAGTTGATTTCAGAACTGAAACCAGGTAAGGCCCCAGACCTCAACAGGATCCCAGCAGAAGTTCTTTACAAACACCCTCGCTGGTGGTCCTTACCCCTAGCCAATCTATTCACTTTAATCAATCTGGAAGGATTTCCCAGTCATGGCTGAATTCTATAATTATCCCTATTTTTAAAAAAGGAAATCCTAATTGCCCAGAAGGTTATAGGCTAATCAGTCTTTTATCCATAATAGGCAAGATATATGCCAAATTTCTAGAAAGGCAGCTAAAAACATGGATATATTCTGAGCAGATAATCAGTCCTGTACAGATTGGTTTCTCGAAAGGTAATTCCACCGTAGACCACTGCTTCCTTTTAACTTTCCTGGCTGACAAATATATGAAATCGGGTACTAAAAAACTATACGCAGCCCTCATAGATCTAAAAGGCACATTTGATTCAGTTTCCAGAGAATTACTTTGGAGAAAGCTTGAAACTTTGAATATTGATCTTCGATTATTATTCTTAATTAGAAAGCTCTATTCATCCACAGTCTGTCAAGTTAAATATTCGGATTCTGGCCATCTAACTGCTAAAATACCAACTTTAAAGGGAGTAAAACAAGGCTGCTCTTATCTTTAATTTATTTTTGAATGATCTCCCGTTAAGGCTGGAACACGTCAATGGCCATCCTCCTAAATTGAGGCCTCAGAAGATCCCCCTTTTGCTCTATGCAGATGACACTACAATCCTTTCTTGCATTAAGGTCGGACTTCTTAGATACTTGCATGCTTTTCACAAATACTGTGCCGATAATTCTTTGGTCATTAATTACTCTAAATCTAAAATTCTAGTCTTCTCTAAATGTTGGAAGCCTATGAAGTGGACAGTAGGGAAAACTGAAATCAACCAGGTTAAAAACTTCAAATATCTGGGGATCACTTTTCAATATAATCTTAAATGCTCAGCCCATAGATCCTGTAAGTGATCCATTCGTTACACATCTTAAAAAATTCTTTCACTCCAGATGGAATCAATATCTATCAGGTGCCATAAAGATGTTTGAAACTAAAATCCTCCCTCAATTATTATATGGCATTCCTATTTGGATAACAGGTTTCCATAACAATCTTGAAAGAATACAAGCCTGTCTTTTTCGCCAACTCCTAGGTGTTTCTAATTGTGTTCCTTATTCCTCTTTTTGCTTAGAACTTGGCCAACATTTCATAGAAACTAAATGCGGGCTATTAACCTTTAAATACTGGCTGATAATACACTTCAGATCACCACAAAATTCCTTAATTTCACATTTCAAAAACAACGTTTATAGTGTAAACTGGTTGGCGTATATTGAGAAGAAAATCAGTCAAATTGGCTTTTCCTTAGAATATTTCTATTCACTGGATGAAATCTCTATTTTCCTGATTATCAAACGGAGGCTGACCTTGAACTTCAGATGTTATGTCCTGTACAGTTTCACATATTCTCTCAGGCTCAGTTGAATCTCCCAATTCAGTATGGCCAGAAGGCCCCATTATTTTCACAACTTAGTCCAGCCCTCACATCGTAGAGCCTTCACATTAGCCCATCTAAATGTTTTCCCCTCAAATGTACTCTCAGGTCGGTTCAATAAAATTCCTCCACACAATTAAAAACCACACACATATAATAGTATACTTAATAACAGCAGCAAGAATCTTAATTGCAAAGCGTTGGAAGTCAAAAACTATACCATCTGTAAGAGAACTTAAGTACAAAATACAGGAAATAGCAGAAATGGACAAATTGAGTATAGAACTTCAAAATAAGCCAGAGGGAATTTTTTGGGATAGATGGGGAATAATTTATAACTGGCTAAAGATGGAAAAGATATAAAAGATTTGAGTATTGGCTAGTAAAAGATCATTGATGATAAATGAAATAGATAAATTTTATATCAAGAAATGTATAAGTATAGATGGACATGTTTATATGTTTATGGAAATGGAAAATGGAAAAATAAAATATATATATATAAAAAAAATTCCTCCACATGAAAGGTTATGTTCATGTCCTTTAAAATCTGTGGACAATACATCATTATTTTTGGCTGTCAATTTTACTCAGCCTTACACAAAGAATTGTTGTCATCAACCAACGGCTTGAAATTAAGTCAGAAGAGTTTTCGGCTAAACATTAGGAAGAACTTCCTGACAGAGCGGTCCATGATTAATAAGTCCCAATTTTTTTCAAACCACAGGTCAACTGATGGTACTGCTTTGATTGCCACTTTGGGGTTAGGAAGGAATCCTAGAGGTTTTTTGTCACCGTCTGGGCGTGGAACAATGCTCACTATGGGTGCAGAGGGGGAGGTATTTGTGAATTTCCTGCCTTGTGCAGGGGGTGGGACTAGATGACCCTGGAGGTCCCTTCCAACTCTATGATCCGATGAGACTGAGCTGGACTGGGGTGTCCAGGTCAGAGTGTAGAGTACATTAGCGTAATCTAATCTGACAGTCACTAAGTATGGATGACTGGTCAGTCCTCAGTTTTCCAGTAGAGGCTATAGCTGGTGTATTGCTGAAGCTGATGGAAGCATTCCAAGCCACAGCCCCTAACTGAGATGTCAGCAACAGTGTAAGAATACCCCAGATCGACAACCAACCCAAGACTGACCTCATCTGCATCAAGCATTTTCCTTACTGGTCTACTGAGTCCCCCACTTTTTCCAGCCATTCTTATACGAGGGCCGATTCCAGATTAAATCATCATCATCGTCCTTCAGTCCATCCATAATCACCCGCATGCTGACGACACAAAGCCCCATGTACCATTAGTCACTGTCTCAATGGTTTGCTTGCTTGGCTTCCCTTTTCTTTTTTTGGATGCTTGAATGCTGAATTTCTACTAGTAAAGGTTTCATAAGACACTTTGAGTGTTATCTGTTCATGAGGATGCTTGAGACCAGAGCACGCCTATGAGCATGAAGATTCTCCTCAGGAAGAAGGATCACCGACTCATGGGGCTTGAGCATTCTATTAAACCGCAGGTCTTGCCAGGACATCTGGTGCTTGAGTTCCTTTGGGCGCTTGTGGTTGTGATGATCTGTTTTTTGTTTTTCCCCCTTTCAGCTGCTGCTGCTTTCGCTGAACCCATGATCTGCCCCAGCTGCTTCAGTGATCATGTGGTCATCCTACCCTGTGAGAGGCGCCCCAGCACGCCACTGCCCCCTCAGGAATGTCTTGATGAAAGCCAGCAGGAAGGGGCATCAGGGAAGTTTTACATTGGAGAAGAGAACTCTGAAACTGGAACCAGCTCCAGCACTCGGACTCAAGAGCTGAGCGGCGACCATAGCAGTGCCATGCATTCCAGTTCCCGCAGCTCTGAAGGGGGGGGCAGTGGGAGCAGAAGGGATCTGGGTTCCCGGTACCGCTGCTCTTCCCTCAGCCACATGGACACCAACGCTGGAAGCTTGATGGGGAGCTACGGCTACAGCGCTTCCCGGGGGACCACCCCTTCTCAGCTCTCCCTGAGCTCAGAGTATGACGAGCACTGGAACCTCAGCCCCCGTGAGTAGTTTTTGGCAACGGCAGCGGGAGTGGTCTGTGCAGCAGTGGGGGGGAGAGCTAAAAGTGGATTATTTCACAACACAGTGGGAAAACATTGAAGAAATAGCGTTCTCCACCCAGGGCCACAGAGCATACCTGTGTATTCCTGCTAAGACTGCTATTCCTGTAGCGAGAACATTGTCAGAGTTGTAAAGCAAGACCACCAGCAGCTGGTGGTTAAGGGCAGTGTATGATTATTGCCAGGGCTTTTTTTGTAGAAATAGCCCAGCAGGAACTCATTAGCATAACAGGCCACACCCAACAGCAGAAACTCATTATCATATTAGGCCACACCCTGACAGTGCAGCTCATTAGCATATTAGGCCACATCCCATGCCTTCCCTTGGAAGGATCTGTCCTGCGGGGAGCCTGGACAAGCCAGCCCTTGTACAGATCCTCCCAGGGCCCCCCCCTGGCCCGCCCGCCTCGGAGTCACCGGGGGGGGGGTCGCTCTCCAGGCCTTCCCTCTGTAGCCAGGCACGCAGAGGTTTTGGCTGTAGTGGGTGTGATCAAATCTGAAGCCAGACGGAACTCTGTTCCTGTGCGTTCCTGCCCAAAAATAGCCCTGATTATTGCTTTTAACAACTTTTTTTTAGTGGCTTCCAACTGCCATTTTGAAAGATGTCAAGGGACTTTCCTGGTGATGTGTAGAAGTCTGCTAAAGGAGTAGAAGTCTAAAGGAGTTAATGTGGCCGCTGCATGTTTCAAAGGGAGGTAACAGCAGCCAAAAGAGTATTGCTTTAACCCTGGCCTGTGTAACAAGACCTGCAGGCTTTAACTCTGGCCTGTGTAACAACTCCATACCTGATTATTTGCATCCCCTTGGAAGAATTCTACATCTGTTTGTGGTACATTTCACACATTCCTTCTGTGGCCTTCAAAGGGCCATCAATAATGGCCACGACAAAGCCTGCGTTATGTTCGGTGTCCATCTTCTGCTTGCTTCTAGGTTGGGAAAACTAGCGGTATTTCACATCCCACCTCTCCTCCAATGAACTAAGATTGGCATTCATGGTTCTCCTGTCCTCCATTGACCAGCCCGAACTCAAGCCGTAAACTTGAAGTGGGGATATGTTGAATCCTGGGTCTTCCCGGTCTTGCCCTGCATCTCAGAGCATTGCACCACTGCGGCCTAGATGCTGCTGTGCCAACATCCCTCAGATAACCACCTACCCCCGTTGCCTACCAGCCTATTTCAGACTCCCTCAGGACCAGCTCATAAATTACACTTTTCTCTGCACACCTAAAAATGTAATGGAACAGATAACATATGTCATACAGACACCCAGGGCCAGGATTGGCTACTCTTCCCTATTGATCACTGTTGGGAACTGAGTTTGCTGCCAATATTTATTTGGAATACTGTGTGCAGTTCTGGTCACCACACCTGAAAAAGGATATTATAGCTTTGGGAAAAGTGCAGAACAGGGTAACTCGAATGATAAAAGGGTTGGAACACTTTCCCTATGAGGAAAGGTTAAAGCGCTTAGGGCTCTTTAGCTTGGAGAAACGACGACTGAGGGGAGACATGATTGAGGTTTATAAGAACATAAGAGACGCCAATGTTGGATCAGGCCAAAGGCCCATCCAGTCCAACACTCTGTGTCACACAGTGGCCAGAAATACCAGTGCCATCAGGAGGTCCAGCAGTGGGGCCAGGACATTAGAAGCCCTCCCCCTGTTGACCCCCCCCCCAAGCACCAAGACAGAGCATCACTTGCCTCAGAGCCCCTAGCTATACCTTGTGGCTAATAGCCACTGATGGACCTCTGCTCCATATGCTTATCTAATTCCCTTTTGAAGCCGTCCATGCTTGTAGCACCCACCACTTCCTGTGGCAGTGAATTCCATGTGTTAATCACTCTTTGGGTGAAGAAGTACTTCCTTTTATCCGTTCTAACCCGACCGCTCTGCAGTTTCATGGAGTGCCCTCGAGTTCTTGTATTGTGAGAAAGGGAGAAAAGTACCTCTTTCTTT